CTCCAGTTTTTGTCCCCCACGTTTTGCAAAGCTGGTGAAAGCATTGCTCAGCTTTTCTGCCACATTTTCTAGAATTTGCATGTTCAGAAAGAAAAACGTGGCTCTAAGTGGCAGGCCCTGTTACCTGAATTTGTCTTCTCCTAGATTTTCGCCCAGAAATTCCACACTATTTTATTAGCTCTCCTTTGTCTTTAAGCTGATTAAAATTATTTTTTAAATCTGTGGTCCATACCTACTTTCCCTTTCCCTAAGTATTATTAAATCTGTCCTACCCTCCTTTCCTCTGAGAGAGGGAAGAGGGAACAATATGTAGTATGGGGCTAACTAAGCATCATGTTCCAACCATTTAATAAAGTATTAAGAAGATACTTTAGTAATTTATTGGTTGATCTGCCATGCTGAATATCTATAGTTAGCTAGGTAACTAGATTTTTTTTTTGGCAACTATATTTTATAATTACAGTATGCTTTACATATATTTTAATGAAGTATATTTTACTTTCACTAAGCATACAAGAGAAAATAATTTTAACACTCCTCTGGCTTGATTTCACAGATCACAGTGGATTTCACAGAACAGGTGTTATACACAGGATGTATTCAATTCAAGCTATATAAATTATTAATCTTATTTATAGTGCATGTAAGAAAAATGACTACCCCAATATTAAGGCTAATTTTTATCACAATATTAAGACTGGCAAAATGCTTTGGTCCTTGAATTTATATTATATAGATAGTATATAACATTCTGTGTAAATACGTGGTTTATATATTCAGTGATTTCAGAGGCAATTTCATTATTAATCAAAAACAAAAAATTTCCACTATAACTTCGAGGCACAGCTTGGCATTTTAGAGTCCTTTATCAGTTTTCTCTGGGCTTTTTCTGAACTGCCCCCTCATCTCAACCTTCCTTCCATGGTCCTATTTGACAGAAACTTAAGGTCCTCGTAGATCCTCTGCAGAGGGTCTCGCGGGCACATGTGCGTGGGCAAGCCTCAGTGCGGGGAGATGATTTGTATAGGATCATGCAGTTAGCGGAGGGGCGGGCTGATGTCCACGCCTCCTGAAGGCCAGGCTCAGACCCCGCTACACTCGGACTCGGTGCCCTCCCTCTCCCAGCACACCCTCTGGCCAAACGGGCGCAGTAAGTACCTCCACCCTGGGAGCGTCCAGGGGGAAGGTACAGGCCATACTCACTAGTAGGCTCCACACCTAATGAAATGTGCCCATTGAAAGGGGAGTGCTTCCTTTTCTTAAACAGTCTTTTCCCATTAGAATAGCTAGCATGTGGCACAAAGCTGTGCGGCACTGCATTTCCTCCTCTACTTGCTTCCAGATGAAAAATCAAACTCACCTGAGCTGTTTCACTCATCTTGAGTTTCTTGCTCAAGTAAATCGTCAGTGTCTGAGACTTCGTTGGGCTGTTTCTCAGCAAACGTCCTTCTGACCATGGCTTCCGTGTGCCTGTGGATGACCTCGTGCGCTGCAAGGATATGCTTCCGCTGGGCGTTCCTCACTGTGCCAAAGCGACAGGAGAGTTTTACTACGACAGTCTGAACAAAAACATTTCCAAAGGTTTTCAGGAGTGGTATTATAGAAACAATAATTTTGCAAAACACATATTCTCTTGCTTAAGGCCAATTAGGTTAAGTATAAATGACCTCTCTGTTTCAGAAGGACACCATCTAAAGGAAACCAAACTCGAAGCTTACTGTTGCTACGCCCCCTGTTCCCACGGTCTGGTTCAATCCGGTCATGCTTCTCCCACCAGGCTTGCCTCCATTTCACCCTCAGCAGCGTCTCCTGCGCTCCAAATCCTACCCTTTCTGCAAAGCCCAACCCAAGCCCCAGCTCCTCCGGGAAGTCTCCTCTGACTGCATCAGTCCACATGTACCATTACCACGTTTGGACAAACCCTTTCAGCATTGGAGCACTTCGTGTGAATGCCCTGAAGGTAAAGATCTTGTCTCATACTTCTCTTTGAGCCTTATTCCTCATGGAGGGTATTGTTGATTGGTCATGAGTTTCTGAGCTCATGGCTGTAGAAGGTGGCTCTAGTTCCATATTCTAAGACTATTTACTATTTGGGCTGCGGATGCTAAGCAATTCCCTTCCCTTGGAAAGAGGTAATCATCATCATGATGTTAGCCATTAGCATTTTCCCTTAATTTGTGCCACCCACTGTTTTAAGCAGTTGGTATATAATTATTCACCTAAAACACCCCACAATCCTAAAAGAGAGGATTATTAATACCCCATTTTCAGATGAGGAAACTGAGACACTGAGAGATTAAATAATTTGTCCAAAGTTAGACAGCTAGTAACAGACAGTAAGAATTAGTGTGGAATCTGTGCTGTTCAGGAGTCAGCTAGTTTATATAGGGTAAATCACACAGCAACCTAAAGCACTTCACAGTAGTATGGTTGAAGAATGCAGACTTTGGAGCTACAAAGACTGTGGTTCAAATCTGCAAGTCATACAATGTCTCTAAGCACTAATTTCCTTAAACTGAAAAATGAGAACACCTACAGCTGTTTTAAGAAATTGAGATAGGTATTTTTAAAATGTTCAGTACATTGACTGTAACTTAGCATACATTTAAAATTTTGTATTTACTGTTATTTTATACCTATATACAGGTATCCTCAAGGTCCTTCCAATTTGTCAGCTTTTAAAAACAATGAGATATCTCAAAATGGTCTATATATAATACTATCTTAATTTGGGGTGAAGAGTACATATTATTCATATGGCTTGCTTATTTAAACAGAGAACAGAAGATCCTAGTGTGAGCTCCCTGTCAATGTGGCTTTCTTGATTTGGAACACATATAAAGAGAAGAGGCTAAGGATGTGCCCAGCTTGCCCCATTCGAGGCCTGCTGGATTCCTTCAGCTCAAGTCCCCCCTCCAGCTCCTTCCCTTCCAAGCCAGGAGAAGCTGGGGAAGACAGCCACAAACTAGTAACTATTAAACACACTATCTGGCCCCCTCCTTCAATTCCCTCAGGCAGAACTGATCTGAAGCAAACTGACCTCCCTTTGGACCTAGGAGAAGCAGAAAGGAGTTGCATATTTTCTTAAAGGACTAAGATTCCTTTTATAATGTAAGGTGACACAGAAATATTTGTTACATGATTTGAAAATAAATTTTGTTGGTATAGGCACTATCTTACACTGCTGATGAGAGTATGAACTAGAACAATCTTTTTGTGGGGTTATCTGGGAGTATCTATCAAATGTAAAATACACATAACGTTTCCAGCATTGTACTGCTAGGAATTTACTCTCAGAAGCATGACCAGCATGTGTATTAAATATATTGATTGCAGCACTGCTAGTTATAGGAAAACACACTGGAAACAAATTAAAAGCTTATCACTAGAGGGTATTGTTTTAAAAATTACAACACAATTGACAGTGGGAAAATAAGATATTTCTTTGTTCTCTTCAAATGCACTAGACTCCACCATTGTTTTATCCCTGATTGAATGATCTGAAACACTACACTTCTCTTAAACCTGTCCAGAATTCCCTGCATAACTCTGAGACCTTCCAAGCTGTTATTTCACTTAAATATTGATCTTCTGGTTGCACTGCTTCCTATGAGATCAAGTTTGTCACCAACAGTCTGATGGCTCTAGAATATTCTTTTTTTAAGACTTTTTTTTTTCTCCTTCCCTACTGACTAAAAGCATCAATCTTCAAAAACATGCCACTTTTGACAAATGTAAGTGAAGATGCAGTGCTGGCAGAAACAGAAGAGATTCGTGGCACAAGCAGAGCAGTGGGCAGATTTAGTCCCGTCAAACATCCCAGCTTTCCACCAGCCCCCTGCCCATGCCCTACCTCCAAAAGCCTGCTATGGTTTGAAAATCTTGCATAATCTCAACTTCCTGTTTTTTTAAAAAATCAAATCACAAAATACACCTCTACTGGGAATGTGGGAGCTTCCTCTTAAAGAAGGTTTGGATTTTGATACTCTCTTCAACTGACTAGAACTGCACCCCATCTATCAATCTATATATATACTAGAGGTGCATATATCCCGGAATCAGACAGCATGAAGAGAACTTGACAAGCTCTGAAAAAAGAAAACTTAGTGATTCTCCTTCAGAACTTGCACCAGACCTCTGCTTAGTTTTAATCATGTGGGGTATTGAAAACAGTTTATATCTTTTAAAAAATTACCAAGTGAAGCATTTACATTGGCTTACCTTTTTCTTTGACAAAGCCTTTTTGCACCTCTGGGATTAGGAAACTATAAACCAACTCAGCGACAATTTCCTCTGACTGAAGGTGAGTTCGACTAAAAAGTAAAAAATGAATTAAACTATTTCCTTTGTTGTCTAACTTGAGCAGCTGATTTATACTTAGATCCTCCTTGTCTGTGTAAGGAACTCCACTGCTCAAATCCCACCATCGCCTTTTCCTTGGGAACTTGGTTAACTCCATGGAAGTTTGGATTTAACCCTGTCTTTCACTTACCCTGCTGACCAGGAAGGGAATGTTAGATACAATTCATACATGGAAGTCAAAAACCCTGGGGTAAAATCCAAGCAATGTTGCACACACTACTCCACAGCAATGCTACTGTAAACTTTGCTTTCATACTTTGTGGTATCCTAAAAGTGATAGTATGAAAGTGATCCAGATTGCAGAGGAAAACTGAAAATTCTCTTCCCAGTGCTTCTGTCATACAGGTATAGGCATGTTGGTTTCTAAAGAGTTATGCTAATAAAACAATGTTCACTGATGTACCAGATCCATATTTGTTTTTCCCTAGGGGTGAAATCTTAAGTTCTTGAAAAATACATATGAGTAAACAGCAAGTGGGTCTTTTCTTGGTACACACCGGCTTTCCATTTCATAAGCAATGTCATTGATTTCCTCAGCCATCTTCTCAATTTCTGCCCTGGCTTGCTCATCTGCAGTATTCTCTTCAGTATTCAGTATTAAGTCTTCCAAATAGGAAGTTACAGTACCTTTGTGAACTTTAATCACCTGCAAAAAACAAAACCACCTGAGTTACTAGGAATAGGAATGCTACTATATCAAGTTTTTAAAAAATCATAAAGTGAAGAAATGCACATTAGTTGACCATTTTTTTAGCCCATCTATTTTGTTCCTCACTGATCATTCCTTTTCTTTACTGTCAGTCTAACCTACCTGCCTACCCATTCTGAGCAGCTCCCACTCATCTAGCCCATTTTAGAATTATGGTTCTTAGTCGGGGGGTGGGGCAACAAAACACTGCAGAAAGATCATGGGCTTCAGAGTCAATAGCACTGTTTTAGATCCTGGCTTTTTTCTTACCAGTAGTGTGACTTGGTCAGCCACCTAACTATGGCATTTCCCGATGTCCTTTCACTATTATAACAGAGCCCTTGGATTTTAGCTGACCCAACAGGCGCCCAGAATAAAGACTACATTTCCTAGTACTCACAGCTCTGGCCAAAGGAACACATGCAGAATTCTGTGCGTATCCCAGAAAAGACTCTTAAAGGGAAAGACCTAGCTTTTTTCCCTATTCATTTCTCATTTCATGGGGACATAATGCTGGAGAACTGGAAGTCATCTTAAACAACCACGAAGGCCATGCCCTAGGGACAGACAGGCAGAAAGCTAAAAGGATCCTGGGTCTCTGATGGATTTCTTGAACTATCATATCAGCCCAGACTGCTGCTTTTTAAAGCTTTCTTGAAATGGTGAAATAGAATGCACATTTAGAAAAGTGCAAAGTGCATAAATGTACAGCAATAATCATTTGGGGTGAAGCCAGTATTCACAGGGCCACTGCTGGTATCCCAGCAGGTGCTGTGGCTCTTTCTGATCACAGCCCCTTCCCACTCTCATGATCTTATGACAAATACTGTCTTTTCTTTATAGTTTTGCGCTAAGTAATGTTTACTATACATCTACCTGTGAAACACCAAGTCCATAACCTTGAATTCCTGTATCTTCCTTATGGGAGAAACCCAATGACCAGATTAATATAATATCAACCAAGCAAGCAAGCAACCAAAATAAATTCGCTCATGTCTATTGTATCTGTTAGGGAGCCCACAGACTAATTCAGGAAGCAAGTCGCACCTATATGGCACAATTAGACAGATGAGTCCTAACGTGCAGAGGTGGGAAGTTTAATGTGGTCCACCTCTGGCAATATGTGTTCTTGTGTGTACATTATATGGACTCTCTATATACAGTATATGTACTTTACATATCTCTTTATAAATGTATAAGTTTCTGGACACCTCTTTGCTTGTACATGTGTGAGTGAATAAGGAACCCTATGTATGTCTGTATGTGTTCCTCCATGTCTTTGCTGATATTGTGCACACTAGAGTACGTTTGTCACTATATCTTTGCATATTTGTGTGCATAAGTATACATGCATTTAAATATGAGTCTATGACTTTCTGTATCTGTTTCTCAATATATATTATTTCCTGGAAATTTCCTTAATGTATACATTTCTGTGTTTTGGTGTATTTATGTGCAAGTGTATTTATCTTTAAAAAGGTCATATGAAGGGAGACTGGGAATTTAAATGATGGATGGCATTTGAATCTGGGGTCTGTTGATGGATACGTTCCTTACATAAATGAGCCTTACATCAGGCTGGAAGGGTCACCTTAACCTTTCTTGCCCTTCCGAGGCATGGCTGGCATTTCCTGGGGTCATTCCCATTTAGAATATACATTCCCAGAAGCCTTTTAACAGCTTCTTCCTGTCTGCATTTGGAGCATAGTGAGTGGTTTCTCAGTCTCTTTCCTTTTTATTCTCACTAGCAGTTGGTTCTTTCCATCCCAGCTGGTTTTTCCTTAGTGATATTAGATAGAGGAGAGTAAGTTCTTGTTTGCTAGCAATTTCTAAATCTCAGTAACTCTTTCTGGAGCAAAACCTGTCAGGATGGTAGGAAGCTTGCATATGAATTACTATAGGCTATTACACATTGTAAAAGATCTGCCACTCCAGTTAAAAAACTGAATTGACAATATATAACTGAAAACTTAAGCTGTACAGGGGGAGGGCAATCTGTTTAGTTCAAGTTTTTAAACACACACACACCAAGTATTTGTCATGTATCAACCCTAATTCTATGAAAATCAGGTAAATCCTTAAACCCATGCCCTACCTCCAAAAGCCTGCTATGGTTTGAAAATCTTGCATAATCTCAACTTCCTGTTTTTTTAAAAAATCAAATCACAAAATACACCTCTACTGGGAATGTGGGAGCTTCCTCTTAAAGAAGGTTTGGATTTTGATACTCTCTTCAACTGACTAGAACTGCACCCCATCTATCAATCTATATATATACTAGAGGTGCATATATCCCGGAATCAGACAGCATGAAGAGAACTTGACAAGCTCTGAAAAAAGAAAACTTAGTGATTCTCCTTCAGAACTTGCACCAGACCTCTGCTTAGTTTTAATCATGTGGGGTATTGAAAACAGTTTATATCTTTTAAAAAATTACCAAGTGAAGCATTTACATTGGCTTACCTTTTTCTTTGACAAAGCCTTTTTGCACCTCTGGGATTAGGAAACTATAAACCAACTCAGCGACAATTTCCTCTGACTGAAGGTGAGTTCGACTAAAAAGTAAAAAATGAATTAAACTATTTCCTTTGTTGTCTAACTTGAGCAGCTGATTTATACTTAGATCCTCCTTGTCTGTGTAAGGAACTCCACTGCTCAAATCCCACCATCGCCTTTTCCTTGTGAACTTGGTTAACTCCATGGAAGTTTGGATTTAACCCTGTCTTTCACTTACCCTGCTGACCAGGAAGGGAATGTTAGATACAATTCATACATGGAAGTCAAAAACCCTGGGGTAAAATCCAAGCAATGTTGCACACACTACTCCACAGCAATGCTACTGTAAACTTTGCTTTCATACTTTGTGGTATCCTAAAAGTGATAGTATGAAAGTGATCCAGATTGCAGAGGAAAACTGAAAATTCTCTTCCCAGTGCTTCTGTCATACAGGTATAGGCATGTTGGTTTCTAAAGAGTTATGCTAATAAAACAATGTTCACTGATGTACCAGATCCATATTTGTTTTTCCCTAGGGGTGAAATCTTAAGTTCTTGAAAAATACATATGAGTAAACAGCAAGTGGGTCTTTTCTTGGTACACACCGGCTTTCCATTTCATAAGCAATGTCATTGATTTCCTCAGCCATCTTCTCAATTTCTGCCCTGGCTTGCTCGTCTGCAGTATTCTCTTCAGTATTCAGTATTAAGTCTTCCAAATAGGAAGTTACAGTACCTTTGTGAACTTTAATCACCTGCAAAAAACAAAACCACCTGAGTTACTAGGAATAGGAATGCTACTATATCAAGTTTTTAAAAAATCATAAAGTGAAGAAATGCACATTAGTTGACCATTTTTTTAGCCCATCTATTTTGTTCCTCACTGATCATTCCTTTTCTTTACTGTCAGTCTAACCTACCTGCCTACCCATTCTGAGCAGCTCCCACTCATCTAGCCCATTTTAGAATTATGGTTCTTAGTCGGGGGGTGGGGCAACAAAACACTGCAGAAAGATCATGGGCTTCAGAGTCAATAGCACTGTTTTAGATCCTGGCTTTTTTCTTACCAATAGTGTGACTTGGTCAGCCACCTAACTATGGCATTTCCCGATGTCCTTTCACTATTATAACAGAGCCCTTGGATTTTAGCTGACCCAACAGGCGCCCAGAATAAAGACTACATTTCCTAGTACTCACAGCTCTGGCCAAAGGAACACATGCAGAATTCTGTGCGCATCCCAGAAAAGACTCTTAAAGGGAAAGACCTAGCTTTTTTCCCTATTCATTTCTCATTTCATGGGGACATAATGCTGGAGAACTGGAAGTCATCTTAAACAACCACGAAGGCCATGCCCTAGGGACAGACAGGCAGAAAGCTAAAAGGATCCTGGGTCTCTGATGGATTTCTTGAACTATCATATCAGCCCAGACTGCTGCTTTTTAAAGCTTTCTTGAAATGGTGAAATAGAATGCACATTTAGAAAAGTGCAAAGTGCATAAATGTACAGCAATAATCATTTGGGGTGAAGCCAGTATTCACAGGGCCACTGCTGGTATCCCAGCAGGTGCTGTGGCTCTTTCTGATCACAGCCCCTTCCCACTCTCATGATCTTATGACAAATACTGTCTTTTCTTTATAGTTTTGCGCTAAGTAATGTTTACTATACATCTACCTGTGAAACACCAAGTCCATAACCTTGAATTCCTGTATCTTCCTTATGGGAGAAACCCAATGACCAGATTAATATAATATCAACCAAGCAAGCAAGCAACCAAAATAAATTCGCTCATGTCTATTGTATCTGTTAGGGAGCCCACAGACTAATTCAGGAAGCAAGTCGCACCTATATGGCACAATTAGACAGATGAGTCCTAACGTGCAGAGGTGGGAAGTTTAATGTGGTCCACCTCTGGCAATATGTGTTCTTGTGTGTACATTATATGGACTCTCTATATACAGTATATGTACTTTACATATCTCTTTATAAATGTGTAAGTTTCTGGACACCTCTTTGCTTGTACATGTGTGAGTGAATAAGGAACCCTATGTATGTCTGTATGTGTTCCTCCATGTCTTTGCTGATATTGTGCACACTAGAGTACGTTTGTCACTATATCTTTGCATATTTGTGTGCATAAGTATACATGCATTTAAATATGAGTCTATGACTTTCTGTATCTGTTTCTCAATATATATTATTTCCTGGAAATTTCCTTAATGTATACATTTCTGTGTTTTGGTGTATTTATGTGCAAGTGTATTTATCTTTAAAAAGGTCATATGAAGGGAGACTGGGAATTTAAATGATGGATGGCATTTGAATCTGGGGTCTGTTGATGGATACGTTCCTTACATAAATGAGCCTTACATCAGGCTGGAAGGGTCACCTTAACCTTTCTTGCCCTTCCGAGGCATGGCTGGCATTTCCTGGGGTCATTCCCATTTAGAATATACATTCCCAGAAGCCTTTTAACAGCTTCTTCCTGTCTGCATTTGGAGCATAGTGAGTGGTTTCTCAGTCTCTTTCCTTTTTATTCTCACTAGCAGTTGGTTCTTTCCATCCCAGCTGGTTTTTCCTTAGTGATATTAGATAGAGGAGAGTAAGTTCTTGTTTGCTAGCAATTTCTAAATCTCAGTAACTCTTTCTGGAGCAAAACCTGTCAGGATGGTAGGAAGCTTGCATATGAATTACTATAGGCTATTACACATTGTAAAAGATCTGCCACTCCAGTTAAAAAACTGAATTGACAATATATAACTGAAAACTTAAGCTGTACAGGGGGAGGGCAATCTGTTTAGTTCAAGTTTTTAAACACACACACACCAAGTATTTGTCATGTATCAACCCTAATTCTATGAAAATCAGGTAAATCCTTAAAATCTCAGATTAAATAAGAGGTCCCCAAATTGATGTAGCATTCTTTTTTTTTTTTTTTTTAACTGAGGAGCTCAAGAGTATCCACATAGCCAGTTCCGACAGACGTCCTGTACGGGGATTTTTTGAAGTTCTGGGGTGGCTCTTTCTCTCTTTCTTAGGGGAAAGTCCCACAGCCTTTGCCTTGGTCCATTCTGACCATGCCAGCTGCCCACACACCGTCTCCCGCGCCACCCCCAGGGCAGCCCGCCAGCCCAGCCGCCCTCCTCGCCGCTCCTAGAGGGTCAGACCCCTAACTGAACCTCTGGGTGTGTTTGTGGGGCGGTACCGGTCACAGTACAGCCCCCGCGGGAGAGCTTTGCCTCACGAATCCCCCCCATTGCGGACGCTTGAGCTCCCACATTCTCCTGAGGGTGCCAGGGCTCCTCCGATTTCCTCTGGATTTGCATCTCAGTCACTTGGGAATTTCATACCCACTGTGTTCTGGTCAGAATTCTAATTGACCACCTGGTACTGTAACTCCCAAGTGTTTAACTTTAGCCAGAACCTCTCCTCTAAATTCCATCCTGTGTATCCATTACCTGGAACAGCATCTTGAACATCCGTCCTCTGAAAGAGCGGCTTCAATCTCAGACTTAATGTAAGCCAAATCCCTCATTCCACCCCTGCCCCAAACCTCCGCCACTCTCAGCCCTCTCACCTAGGAAAATAGTGCCTCCACCTTACCCGGTGCTGAAGCTGGACACTGGAAGCCACAGTGACCTCTCCCTGTTTCTCACTCTGGCCGAACCTGCTTCTCCTCCTTTCCACTCTGTTCTCCCTCCAACAGAGTAACCTGTTCAAAATGTGTCACTGGGCCCTATTTATCTCCTTCTCCTATTAAACTTTTTACATTTTCCAAGTTTACACGTATCGGTATGTTATATAGTATTTAAACTGTAGGGGAGAAGGGATCATGTCTAGCTCTTCCTCTACGAAGTATCCCACGGTCCCTCTGCACAGTGCCTGGCATATAGCAGGAACTCGAGACCTATTTCCTGAATACACTGAAAAACAACCAACAAATGCATTTCGTATCCTGAGTTTGCTTTGGTTTGACTCGGCTCCTCACAAACAGCTTCTAGACATCGGCTGCCCCCACTTGCCTCCTTAAATATCTGGTCCTCCTCCTGGAGGCGCCTTTGCTCCACCTGCCGCCGACCGCTCTCTTGGGCCTCTCGCATCCGCCGCTGCCGCTCGGCCAGCATGGCGAAGGCGTGGATCCTCCTCTCTTCCTGTAGCCTCACCAGCTCCTTGGACAGAAAGTCAAACATATCTGCCAGCACGCTTCCTTCCAGCCCAGCCAAATGGTTTTCAACCAGCAACACCTTAGAAGTAATAATATTTTAAGGATACACATTCCACGAAGGATGGTGATTCCTAAGGGGTAGATGCTTACCCCTGAAGAGATAAAGAGGGATTCTGGGCTACCCAGAATGCTTGACAGCCACTTCAGTTTCAGAATGCACTGAGTTTTTATCAGGAATCTTATCTCTAGACTGGCTGCATCCAGAGGGTTCTTACTATAAAAATTTCAATACAAACCAGACCTGAGAAAGTACATTGCTCAGTCAATGAATTGATTATAGACCTCAAATCCTGGAGAGGATTTTGCAAAACATTTCAGCTAGCATCCACATATCAATGTTGTTTTTTCTTTCAACTTTATCCAGAAGGTAAAGTGTTTGTGTCTTTCCATAAATGAAGGGAAATGTGAAGGTTTTTAATCAAATATAACATTGGAGTTCAATAAAATAGAATGTCCTAGAAATTCACTCATGAAACCCTTTAACTTTTTAATGTTTGATCCTTTAATACTAGTTTGGGGAATTTTAAGATCTTGAATAACGTAAAAGTAGAAAGCCATGGTACTTCCTACTCTTTTAAAAAACTTCAGAGTCATTAAGAACTATCTTTGAAACAGAGCAGGAAAAACCTACATGTCTGTGTAATCACTGAGGTAAAATAGAGGCCTGGACTTCTGGCCAGGAATAAATCACAGTGTCTGGTTGTGGATCCCTCTGTGCGGGCTTTGGAGAATAAAAGTGTTTTAAGAAGATTGTACCCTATGCAACTTCATCTGTTCCCTTCTCCCATCCTTAGGCATAAGGAAAAAGAGCTCTTCTCCCAGGCACTTGCTAATGTAACACTGACAGCTCTCTTTGCACTCAGTTTCCCTCAGGTTTGT